CCACATGCCTCCACAGAATAATCAATATATAGAAACTTTACTTGGAATAACTAGGATACAACCTTTCAAAGTCATATCTCTTTGGGTAAGAAGAGTGACTTAACTCAACTTCTTCCTAGGTCATCAGACGAATATGAAGTGATAACACAATAGATGCCCGACCGTAGCTGCTACCTTGACGCGGTGGTCGGGCTTGCCTATCGTGATGACCCAACCGAGCTATGTTGGCTGGAACATATGTTCCTGTAGGTTCTACCATACCAGGTAGGTCGATTGGAGAACGGTAAGACTAAAAGCAGCAACTCAAGGTCTGAGGGCGAAGTCGTACTGCTGACTGTAGAGAGCTGTGACAGCAGTAAGGTGTTTCCCTCGGAAAACCAGCATCTACAGCGATGCTGCCTTCTCATAAGTAAGGAAAGGGTTAGAAAAGGTCGACCCTAAGAATGTCACACCTCACCTTACCTCACGGATTTCCGTCTCCGGCGGTAAAGCTCTTTGAAGAACGGAGCTAACACGTCAAAAACCTCCCACAAAAAGGCCGTGCGCGACCGGCCTCAAGCTGTTGTCCCCTGGGCTCTGCGGTCACGCTCCCAGGCCGTTAAGGCCGACAATAATCCGAATTCCTTTTCAGGTTCCTCAAGAAATACCCTTCCACGGTGTGGGCAGCCGGGAAGTGACACCAGCCCTCATACCCATAACAGCACACAAGACCAAGTTGGTCACATTCAAATCCTTCCTACACCTACTAATACCAAACCGAAGCAGGTGGTTTTCTTAGGGGCCCACACCCCGAGCCTTCGACTTGAGGGTCTGATCCACAAGGCAGTGGAGCATCGTAAGGAGATGCAGTCCCATGGAAGCCGGTGACCAACAATTGGTTCATACGCTATTTGTTCTCGCAGGATACTGTAGCCCATGTGCACCATTGGTTTGGGATCCGGTTAAAGCGCCGGACATTCGCTTTTCGTCCTCTCATTTTCGTAACCAACACCCCAGCCACGAGAAGGCAGTGAGTAGGACTTCCCTGGTAGAGGCTATATACGCGTGCTCATGTGAGAGCATTTCGAGAGGGAGAGCGGACTCTCCACTCTCGACCGTACCAGGGCATTTGGGGGCATTAAGGCGGATGTCGCTGGATTATACTCTTTAAATAACATGTCCAAACCCTAATCTTTCCAATCACTGCTTATACTCTTACCGCTTTTATCACTACGGGATTTGAATCGACAACTGCATCTCTGTGCCAATGTAGTATAGCAACTTGAACTGATGTACGTACGTACGAAGTTCTACGTTGTTACTGACTGACTGACTGACTGAACACAATAGATGACAAACTAGCTGAATCCTTTCAGACACTTAACAAAAGTGGCCATCTTGTTTGGTTCGCTGACTCGATGAAACATAATCAACCTAAAAAATTCTCTGTAGTACCAAAGAAGACTCTGTTCATAAAAATTGAATATATAAAGGATACCTCGTCAAAAATCCTTAAAAAGGCTTTCGACGTCTTTTAGTAAAGCATTTTCCCTTGTGCTTCTGAGTGTCTCCTCCAGTCAGCTTCTAATTTGTGATCGTCTTAATGAAAAGCTTACGCTTTGAATCACATTGGCGTAATAATACATTTACGTGTCTTTGGAGTGCAGGTTACAACGGGCGCAAAAGCGACCTTTTTCTTTACATATCCTTGATGCATATGTATATTACTGTTACTTAAAATTGATGCTATTGAAATGTAAGAGAAAAAAGCTTTTGATCGGTTTAGATTGTCGCAGACTAAACTATAAGGCCATTGATTCGCTTCTGAACAAACTTAGTATTTGATCTTCTAGATGAGGTTTAATCTCATGGAAATCTAGTACGCTTACTGTATACCGAAAAAATCTAAGGGAAAGAGTTGTTAAATAAGTCATCCAAGTAAAACCGAACCAGTACTGACATAACATGTTTTAATTTAGCGTGCAAAATGAAAGACAAGGCGTAATACAGATCAGACATCATGGTTGCTAGACCTTATATTGACTTATCATGATTCAAATGCCCTTACCTTCGAGTATATGTCAACACACTGTAAGAGTTCTCACGCAATATTATTATATACTTTCCAGATGGCTGACATCAATGACGTGTCTAAACAAGTTAGACTAAACTTAGGGAAAACAGATATTCAAGAGACTATACATGCATCACCACCAACAGATCTGTCCACCAAAATATACATCCTTACTGACACTGCATAGAGGGTGTTTAAAAATGTACACAACAATTACTCAGCAGTTTGTACCTTGGATAAAAAGAAGTAGACTAATAAGGAGCCCATCATGATACAACAAACCAATACTAGCCTTTCTTCGAGAACGAATGTAGAAGCGATGTGAGTAACTGGGTACCAATCAAGCTAGAACTAAGTACCCAGAAATTAGAAATATTCGTATATCAGCTCCACGAAAGTTTAGAAAACTTTATGAAGAAAAACGTATTGCTGACTCCACAGGTTGCACTAAGTGGTCATTTTCATAAATAAACAGAAGAATGGTTCAGGGAATGGTATTCAAGCGTGGTATGACGAAAGTCCTACATCATCACTACTGAAAGAAAACGTTATCGAATCCAAAGTATTTTCTGACTGTTTTAACGAGATACATAGGAAAATCAGTGGACTCAAACGAAATTTATCCTAGGCTACCGATAGAGCGCAAGTCTTTTGTGGTAAGACATTCGAAGTTATTACTATCTTACTAATTTTTTAGTATCGCAGAGAAACTGGTTAAACCCAAAAGATTCTAAGTACCCAAAATATGCAGCTTGTTACCATGCCTTTTGACGAATTCCCACATAAAAAACTGGCATATAAGTTTAACAATATCGAAATCAGAAGAAATTTACTTCTGTGAGTAAACGACTTCCAACTTGAACATAAACAAAGGGTACTACAAGGCGTCTGATTATGAAATAGTATATAGGGACGTCAACCAGAGTATATTTTTAGAACCAGCGTCATTTCTTTTATGCGCATACAACCATTTTAGTTTTCTGTCATCATCGATCTCGTTATGTTAGATAATCTAAACAACGAAATATCAGCCAAACGATGAAAACACTATTTTTACTGTCATTGGTCACCCAGAAAACAGGGGATTCTAGTTAGTAAAGGGCTGCCAGTTACTCAAACATAACAAATAAATCAGTCTACAAGATGTCAATCGGATAAACCGAAACCGAAACTGTAAAGGAGTTTTTCATTAGTAACGAATAAGACTGTTACCATTGTAATGAATATTTGCATATACAAGAAAAGCTAATCTCTTATGTGATCTAGAATGATATTGTTTACAGATCTGTCACCAACAAAAATGTGAAAATCTACTCATAAACTAGTTCACACTAAAGTGGTGTTTGGAGTTTTCGGTGAAATATTTTGATATTAATTAGTTTAACACTCAATAACGCTATTCAAGATATGCTATGTACTTTAGTTCTTAAAAAACAGGACTCAGAAAAAAAGCCAAAACTTAGAGTTCTAAGGATTAAAGATTTTCATTATACAAAGATAATCCTATAATGAAATAACAAGGATTCCCAATATGTTAGATAATTATACGCTTATGATAAGTCTAAATCAAGGGAAACATGTATAGCCAAAATAAAAAAAAGGATTTAAATTAGACAAAAATATTACTTATATCACATATGTTTTCGACCAAGAAGTCGGTAAGTAATAACAAAACATAAAAAATTATGATAAATATGCAAACAGTTCAAATGAATCTGATTCATATTTTGTATACCAACGTTAAATATTTTTAGTAATCTCGTCCAACAGCATCACTGTAAAAGGGTGAAATTTAGTATAAAAAAACACCTAGATTACAGAGGCCTTTTAAAATCACAAACGCATTTTTGAGGAAACAAAACAGGTCACTTTAAAAAATACCATAATTTGAATGCTAAGGTGTGATTTCGGATTTATTCCGGCGTAATGCATACAGAATCTTGAAGTGATCAAAAGATTACTGTATCCAAAGCTTTCACTTTGATGCAATCGAGGACTTGATCAAAACGTATTACATAAGACTTATTTGTCTGAAAGTAATTGAAAATTGACCATTGTTCCACACATATTTTGAATAGTTTAAGTATACTGTTTCTCATACATAAGTGGGTTTTCATTTGTAAATTATCAAATTGATACGACTTAAATCATCCAAATGTATAATTTATGGAACATATGTGACCACAGTCTGACAAACAGAAACGTTAGCACAAAGCGAATGTAGAGGTAGAGAATGATTTTATCATTTATCAGGTATGAGTACGAGATCAATATAAAAAAACCATGAGTGAATTAAATTTTGACTACCACCAAACTGAAAGAAATATTTTAAAATACACTCAGATATAAACATACTTAAATGTCAAAATAGTACGACCATAAATAAAAATTGAAAACAAAGGCTATATGAATAAGAAAACCAGCTCATGAATCGAAACATGTTCAAAGTTATGAAGATTCAGTTATTTAAGACAGTACCATTAAGGTTAAATTTGACACCCCAACCATACCTTCTGGTTCTAAATTTCGAAATGATAGGTCAAACGAACATACTTACAAAAGCCAAGGTATATTTATCATCCAGTGTAAACTGTCTTAACAAAAATAATTAACCCTTGACGAATAACCCATAGCATTTTCGGAAAAAAATTAAATGTCGTTTAGCCTTGACTGGATTTCACTATAGTTTAGAGCTACTATACACTATAACAACATGAGAAATCAGGACATGGTGCTTGATATTTGCGTATCGATCCCAATTGCTACTTTTATTTGTATCTAAACAACAATCGCACCAATTGATTTATATATTTCATGAAAGCTATTCAACAACATTTGAGTTACGGATTGGTGATATAAACGGAATTCAGCACAGTCTTATTATGAAAATAAACAAAAGGTTTAAATCTAAATATATAACACATAAAACATGGTAATAACCTTGTACCTTAAATCCAAAACTCGAAGTTGATCACCTTTTCGTGCGCTAACTTCCTCTGATGTATGAGCTTCATAGTCGAAAATGGCAATGTGATAATATTCACTGTTGTGGGAGTTTTCTTGCGTAAGAGGGTAGAACTTCTTCGAATTTATACATGGACCCACCGAACCCAAACTAAGACGACTGGATGAGCCAGCACTTGAAGGAAAATATGGCTGATGAACAAGATAACGAGTTGAAAGACCACCGACGGAAGAATGATGATCCGAACTACCATTTTCCATAAAAATTGTTGCAGCAGTGCTAACTGTTCCGCTATTTTGCTCAAGATTCTTCAGACGATTGGAGTCAACAACAACAGATGATCTATACGGTTTGTCCGATTTGTGAGTCCCTGAATCGATTGTGAGTGGGGATTCCATCGCGCTTCGAGTGACACTTGCACAGCCACTTCGAGAATACCTGTTGCCAACCAAGAAAGGCATAATATTCAACGAGGAATGTTGTTGTAAATGCGAATGTGATTGTACATGAATATTACTCCGATGTGGAGAATTTATTTTCTGCATATCAATCTCGTCTGATGGCTTACTTGAAGAAACGCACCAGTGAACTGGACTCATAGAATGCTTATTATCTAAGTAATCGAAATTCGCACTGTTTCGTACGCCAGAATGATGAACCCTCATATCTCTTGTCATCTGCTCTAAAGCCAACCTCGGAAAGTGAAAGCTACTAGGAAGTACTGTTTCCTGAGGATCTTCAGTGCAATGGCTTCCTGCGAAAACATTGACAAGAGAAGTTTTTGGAGTTGATAGATTGGACTTGCTCCCAAAAGACAAATCTCTCCCAGTGGAAAATCTCTCGCGAGTTACGCAGGATGAAACTTTTTCATGCTCTTTTGTTATTACGAGTTTATTTATTAGTCCGTCTTCGTGAATTACTTTTAAGGAATTAGATTTGTAGCTATCACACAAGTCCATAGGTTGAGAACTTGTTCTCACGACATATTTGGAAGGCTCACACGAATCATGCAACGCATGAACATCGCTACTTTGTTCTGTAGGAGGGGGAGAGACGTGCTTTCCTGCACAATTACCCATCAAGTGCTACATATGTCATATCGAACAAAAAATCTGAAAATGTGCTCATTTTAGACCTTCGAAATACTAATATTTTCGAGTATTAAAACAAAACACCTCAATAATGAGCTGATCATCAACTTAAATACTCTTCTTGACGTCAGAAGAACTTTCAGAAACACGTAAGCATCCTCTGATATTATTTTCGCTGCACCGCAGCAGCCGTTATTAGTTAGATCGGAATAATTTTAAGTTGATATAATTTTATGTAAGTTGAATGGAAACAATTACTGCATTGAAACTTGTCAATACGACGTCACCCATCATTCATTTATTTTGTAGCAACGGAATTCGAGTAAAAAAGTATGAAAAATAAAGAGAGCAGGTAGGAAATAAAAGATGGGATTAAAATTGCAATAGAATAATAGATTGAAATTTACGATAGCGATAATGGCAATAAAAATTATTGTGAAGATGTGAGAGAAAAAGTGGGAAGTTAAGCGTATATCTAGAGATCAAGCCGTATTTTTGACATATTTTTGCTTTCAAACATCCTCCACCTTTTAGAATAGAAACGTTTAATTCTTCAGTAACTGTGGAATATCATCCCCCCCCCGCTTTTGAAATACTGTTACAAGTAAAATGTAAGGACAAGGTTGCATATTATCTGTCGGAGATTCACTATGTGACCGAAGACCCTTATGATCCGCAAAAATTGGACAAAAATAAATATCTTCGAATCTGATAACTCAAAGACAATCAAGTCAGAAACAACGACGATTGGATGGATGAGATTGTTTTGTAGTACCCATTGGTTGATATAACTTAAACCAAGTCGGAAGATCGATAACTGGTTGTCGATTCCATGAATGGCTAGGACCATAATGTCTTCATTAAATTGAGGAACAATCGTGACAGAATGGTAGGAGAATTTACTCGGTGTTCCCTTAAAAATATCCTAGTAAATGTACAGTCCAACGTGGAGCGCCTGTGTCTGTAGGATTCTAAAATGGAAGTATAGTTCATTGCGGGTTTATTTTTAAGAAAAATCAAAATTAAACTCCCGACATTGATGCCCCGACGATTATTAATGTGCCTTTTTACGAACAACTTTATTACGTAGAAAGTCGCCTAGATCGGAAAGATGCTCCGACTGAATCAGTACTGAGTAACACTACACAGGCGATAGCTCTGGTAGGTTGCTTGAGCCCAAATCAGACAGGCCACTTAGTCGTAGATTCTCACAGTTTAGGAGACCTTTAATTGAGTTTAGTTTTACGAAACGTCCTTACAATGTTTCGGAGTTTTCAATAATGACCTAACATAGATCGGTACATGATTTCAATTAAACAGACAAAACAGAAGATTTAGTCCTCAGCATGCCTGTAGAGCCTCTTTTAGAACTATGAAAATACGCAAAGGTATGTTGGACAACCAAGTGAGGAAGGCTGCTAATCTCCATGACTATTTGCCTAAGACAAGACTACTTCAACAAATGCGAATCACGTACAGCGAAGACATTTTCAGCACGCGATAGCTCATTATAGTTACGAGATCATGAAATACTTATATATGTGCTGTTTCAGGCATTTGCAAGCGCATTTATTACACTTCCATTTTAGTGGCCCGTGGATCTGACTCCAATTAAATCGTATGAATGTTTGTTATCAGAATATATATGCTGCCTATCCTCGTAGATAATCATCGACTTAAATCGCGTTAGTCAATAACAGAATTAAATAAGTCAAGTGACGAGAATGGACTTTAGAATACATATATTTTGTATATTGAACGAATGGTATAGAACAAAGCGAAACGACGCTCAGTGGAGATGGCGGGCAAGCCAACCACCATTTAACATAGTGTTAATCAATATTTATTGTTACACAAAAGTAAGTTACAGACATGTGATGACTAATGGGATAAGAAATGTACGCACACCTACACGCTCATATAAAAACAGTCAAGATTGATAAACGAATAAATAACAAGGCTATAATGTAAATCAAGTAGAATGAATAGAATGGACTGTCCGAAAGCTAGAATAAAGCGTATGGGCTTCACATAATTATTGACACTGCACTATAAACTATCTTTTCAGCGAAAAAAATAGAGTGAGTTGTATTAGTTTTTCACGTATAACAAACCACCTACAGAACAAAATATTCTTCGATAAAATTGTTATAATAGTGCGAGAAGGCAATTCGTAAAAATAATAAAAATAAAAAGATCGGAATGCATAATATAAAATAGAGAAGAGATGAGCATCTCTATGGTAGATATCGCTGGTGTCCAGGGTTATTGATAACAACAGCCCAATGTAGTGCTTCGTTGAGCTTTCAGGAAGATAGTAACCACCAGCGTTTTCATCAATAAAATTCGTTTTCGCTGCCTAAGCTATCGCGACCTGACATTTTTCGGTGTTATCTGTCAAGCGATTCCCGTGTATCTGTAGTGGCATATCCATTCGTTCAGCGTCGTTCGATTGCTTAGTAGCCTCTGGAGTTATATCGCACACACGGGACAGGTTGTTATGCAAACACAATGCACCGCACAAGACATTTCATCAATTCGGTGGGTCACGGAGTTCAAATTGTCTATTAACTTGAGTGATGCTTTGATCTCGTCTCATATGTAATCGATTTGCATTAGTTATATTTAACCTGGACAAAACATCCTTCGGAATAACCTTCAATCACAAGTGGTTGAATGTGTTGATTCTTCCTTCGAATTATCTCAAGCACTAAGCCAAAATTCAGTCTTCACATTATATGTAAAACATTAATACCAGTTGAAAGAGGTTCAGTGTAACATATGACAATAAAATAGAGATGCTAAGACAAGCCTAAAAGATGTAATCAAAATGAAACAATTTATGCAGTTATCAGTTCATAATTACTGTGAAGTACTGTCTTATCTCGTAGGTTATCATGAAGCACACAGAATCGTAAAGCTTGTCTACTACAATTCACAAAAATACAAACCCATAAGCTAGAAGTTATCTATAAACCAGTTGCAGATAATAATCAAACTCATTATGCCTATGATAAATTTACTTACATTTGCTATGAATATTGTCCCGTGTTTATTCACTTCTGTGCACAACAGAATGAATGAAACTTTTTTGAAAGATATGAATTAGGAATAAAGTGCCAGAATTCGCATGATGTGCGTGCTTATGAGTCAGACAGCTATTTCTGAACTTAAATACTTAAATTTCCCTTCCAACTACTGAGAGCCGGTGTGTTTAGTGAGAAGCTTAGAGAGAAGATCTACTACCTTCTACTCAACAGGTACTTGGAACTAAGCTGCTGATATAAGAACACGATATCCATCGTTCATACATGAGAGCCCTATAAGACATTGATAAGTCGTGATACTAGCGGGATAACGGGTCCATTTAAAAAACGGTGGCAAGTTTTGGCGATTTAGGAAAGTCGGCCCGTGATATTTTTGACAAGAACTTCAGCTTCGGGTATCTTAACTTTGAGTTCGAAACCAAAACTGAGAATGATATCTCCGTGACATGTGGTGGCATACACGACACAAATGCTGGAAGAGTTTCTGGTTTCTTAGAGTCGAAGTTAAAAGCTGCCCCAGGAGTTCATTTAAAGACAAGAGTCGATTCTAAATGGCTAATGACAAGTGAATTAGAAGTCGACAAGAAATTCCATGAGGACTTATCGCATAATGTGATAACTACAATGGAGCCTGATTCAGGAGTTAAGTCATTGTTGCTAAGAAATAAGTTCAAGAATGAATATACTATGCGAGAGTTATGTTAATTCTAAGCTGAAAATATGACAACAGCTTGGCTTGATTCCACACAAATCATGCGAGAATGAAGGTTTTATGCTTCAGCTGAGTACTTATATTGCGTCAACTATGACATACTTATGTAGATTTGTCATAATGTAACTACCTGATGTTTAAAATTTTACATCGAAGTCACATCATAGTCTACACTGACTCGTCTCATCTTGAAAATCAGCAATATGATGTTTAGCACTTTTGAATAACACATTTTGACTGGAGATGACGTAATATGTTTGGTGTGGAATGATATGAGTTACACAGAATGACCACGTTTGCAAATCTGAGCCATGTCATACCGAACAATCTCATCGGAAATTAAATATTCTGCATCAAAGAACGTCTATTACGAGCCAATACGACTACATGTGCACTGTCTTTGCCAACCATGTCGGGTCACAAACGCTATGTGTTCCGGGATAACCCATAATATTAATTCGACCATGAAACAGTATGGGAGGTCCTATGAATATTTTGTGCATATATGTCATAAATTCACTTCTAGAATATCACGCTGGTGTTTTTCCAATTCTTTTTACCAATTTTATGGACGGAGTATGTCTCTATTCTCATTTCGGTACTCCGTATAATGTTTAGTATCAAGGAACAATCTCGTTTTAGTTAAGCATATCCATGCATTGTAGCAGGAAAACCTGACTTCCTATCAGTGTTTCTGTTAGTGAGTCCAACGTGATTTTGTTCATCACTCATCAGTAACCGGAAATATCAGCCTTTCTACTGACATATTAGTATATTTAAATGCCTCCAAGTATATGCATTGTGTCTTCATCTTGATGGTAGACGACCATTACAACAAATCCGACCATAATTATAAGAACGTGGAAGCAATGTGTGGTAGGTTTAGTCAAACATCTGACCATAAGAGCAACAACCCGAACTCACACACCGACGAAATAACCATGTGTTGATAATACCCCATTATGTATTAGCAGTAAGAATCTGTAAGTGAGCATTTGGAGCATAGCTCGCAAAAATACAGGAAGTGAGAGACATAAATGCTTGATAAAGCGGAGAAAGTAGACTGCTCGCAGTAGAAAAAACCGAAAAAATGACACTCAAGCTCAATATTAGTAAGTGTGCAGAAAAGATCAATCGATCTATACACCTTCGTTATAAATGTTGTCAAATATTGAGCATTGTACATATTTTTCCAGGCTATTTACTTAGTTGTGGTGTGTGCGACTTTTCGGATGTCGTTTACTTTTCGGCGTTTTTTTATGATTACATTTC